AAGGCTTTTCCACCATTCCCCACTCCCCAGATGCCACTGAAAATGCTTTCAGGAAGGTCACAAATTAACTACTTTTCAAAAGGAATGTGTATTTTTTAGTCTTTACTGTATAACATCTCTCATAACGATTGACACTATTGACCACTGTCATTTTTTCGGTGCTACAACACACTCTTAGATTTCCTTTGAGCTTACCTCTCTGTTCATTCTTTTCAGTCTGAGTTGCTAACTCGTATCTTTGTCCACATCGACTTGCCAGCATTCCATAAAGCTCTCTCTGGCCCCATCTTCACTTTGCATTGCTTCCTGAGCCGTCTCTTCCCCTCACTTGGCTTCTGCTTCACCCTGCTTTGGGGGGATTTCCAAATCTGTGTCTCTCTTAATAAACTACTAAAATAATCCTATCCTTCTGTTTCTGGTCAGGTTTTGTTCATTCTGTCTTACACAGGGCTAAGAAAAGGACTGTTCTAAAATACATATATAATATTGTCATTCCCCCTTATAAAACTTGCAGTGACTCCCTGTCACCTACATGGTAAAATCTAAATTTTACCTCCATGGCCTACCTCTATAGTGTATCCGAAATCCACTCCCTCCCCTGCACTTTCTGCTAATCACACTAAATTCTTTACTCTTGCATGATTATACTGCACTGTTCCTTGGCATGTCTCCATAGCTTTGCAGATGCTGTTCCTTTTGCATGGAATGCCTCTCCCATCTTTGTTAGCATAGTGAGCTTTATGTATTCTTGAAGATCACCTTAAGCAACATCTGTGTGAAGATCATCTGAGGTAGAGTTCATCATTCTCTGCTTTGTACCATTGTTACTTATCTCTGTTAATACTTTTGACATTTGCTATGTTGTAACTTTTTGTTTATCAAACTTTTATTCTAGACATTGAGTTTCTTTAGGTCAGAAATCTTGTCTTCATCTTTGGATCCCCAGTGTTTCAACAAAGTACCTTACAGATAGTAGGTACCCCATAAATGTTTAATGGAAGGCCAAATATTTGTGTTGTCTATGAATTCAGTATGGTGAATACACTGTCTTGTGGACTTCTCCATACAAAGGAATAATTGTAGGATACTATGGTAAGCACCATATGAGAGGAATGTGCCAGGTACTGCAGCAACGTGAAGAGTGATTGGTTGGTGTGGAGAAAGTCAGAGAAAGTCTTTACCTAAAACAACAGAGGAGTGGGAAGCAGCGTTGGTATGTACAGAAAAGAGACTAGTTCAAAGTGTGAGGAACCCACAATGCACAGGAGTAATAGGAGATGAATTTGGGAAAGAAGGCAGGTGCGACAAAATGAAGATTCCTTTAGGCCCTGTTTTAGAACTTGAGCTTTAGCCTTTGGGGGAGATTTTAGAGGTTTTATCCAGGAAGGTGGTAACATCATATTTTTTGCTTTACAAAGGTATAACAGCAGGACTTTCCTGGCGGTCCAGTAGTTAAAATTCCGTGCTCCCAATGCAGGGGACATGGGTTCAATCCCTGGTTGGGGAACTAAGATCCCACATGCTTTGCAGCATGGCCAAATAAAATAAAATTTAAAAAAAAAAGAATATCAAAGATATATCAAGCAGTTGTGTGGAACCAGGAATGGAGGGGGTGTGAGACTGTAAGTAGGAAGACTAGTTAGAGGAAGCTTCTAGTATAGGATTTCAAAGAGTCACAGCATTTAACTGAATGGAAAATGATTGTAAATCCTTCTCTGTGTAACAGAGAAGGGGGAATGGTTTCTGGGTAGAATCTGGCTCTGCCATTCTTTCTCCATAGTAAAAGAGCAAAACCCCTTTTTTTGGTTTTCATGGTAGAGTATGATAAAACCCACGTCTACATAAGCAATAATGCCATTACTACCGGCACAGTTCTGACTTTGCAGTGTGCTGCTGTGGTTGCTTTCCTCTGTTCATAGTGCCTTCTAGCATCTTGATAAAATAATGGTGAAATATTTCTTGCAACTTTCTGACTGAATGCTGTTTTGTTCATTTCTGCGGCAGTTTCATCTAATTGCATGGATGAGTACTGTGACAAAGAACAAATATATTTGTGTTTCTTTTTTTTTAAGGACCACTCAGAAGATCTTTTGTTTGCCTAAGCAACTCATCTTAACATCCAAATTCAGTCCATTTTCCTCTTACTACCTTCACAATATCAAACAGGATGTTATACAGTATATATGAAAATAGACTAAAAAGTAACTAAAAACACTCCACCAAATAATATAAATCAGAACTTCACAAAGAAAATGCCTCTCACTGTGTGGATTTTGTAGTCCATTCGTCTCCTCTTCCCCAACCCCCATTTTTAAGTATTTTATCTCATTAGCAAATGTTCATTTGATTTTTAAACTATTGGCTATAGCCTTGTCTACTATTCTGAAACCAAGGTATGTCTGAAACAGTCTTTGTAACCCAAGCTGTCACAGAGTTGACACAGAATGTTTGTTCCAGTGAATGAGCAGTAAGCACTATTTTCATAAAAGTGCTAGAGATTTTTACTATTGATTAGCTTCCAGGAGGATTTTCTGCATAAGAAGGCAGGTTATTTAGTGTTCTGTTGACTTCTTTTTAACCTATTTTGGCCTTTCATAAACTGTATTCTTAAGCTGTTTTAATGTCTGGCCACTGTAGGTGGTTATTTACATTTTGTGTCTTTCTTACTGTTATTTTTTAAGTATATTTATTTAAACCATTTATTTATATCATCTCAGTTTAGACTTCCACATTTTCAGTGAATATTTCTTTTCTGGAAGTGCTAAACATCATATTTGTTAAAAAAATAAACCTTATCCAAAAACTTAGAGTATTATTGTCATGTGGGTTCAGATATATGATCCTTCAGCCTCAGTGACTTTGTATCTGACCATGTGGTTAAGGTCATGAATATTAAGAATATCTGTATATACTGGATATTCACTTCCCCTAATAACCCATCAAGAATCCATTAACTTATGTAAAATCACTCCGTATTGTGGAGGCAAGAGGGAGCATATCAGATTTATTCAGAGTTTTCAGATTACACCACCATGATCCCTCATTAAATTCTAATATGACTCTACCCAGCACCCATTGAGAATTATTACCAAAGAGACCATGGTTACCAGTAGATTTTAATGTAGAAAATAGTTAAAAGTGACTAGTGTAAAACTTTATTTAGTCTACGTATATTATTAATCTGTATTTCCTTTTGCACAAATTTCACTAGTTTGCTGTGTCCTTTGAAAGCAGGACTTCCTTTTATTTGCCCCCAAATTACCTATTTTCAGTGTCAAGGGAGGTACCCTTTTGTTCAAGTATTTGAAAATTTAATGAACAACTCTATCCTGGACTATTCATCCTACATCCTATCCATGCCCTTCATGGTTTCATACTCATTATATATATCCCCTTTCCTTAACCACTTAGTTCCTTATCCACTGCCCCTTTCAGGTCCCCAAAGTCATTTTAATTGCCCTCTTCTGAATCTTCTCCAGCTTTATTTTTTCTTTTTTGAGGTAAGTTATATGAATTACAGTAGTATTTCAGATGTAGATTTCACTAACGCTTTATATGTGAATAAAATACGTAGTGTTATGTTTTGTTTCCTACAGTTGTCTTTAGAATGACATTTTATTGAAAGCCTTAAGTAAATTTTGCCATTTTTTATGTTTTGATTGAATAGTGTTCACCTTGAAACTGTACCTGAAGAAAAGAGTTTCTAAATAAAGCTGCTAAATATTCCTTAGTATTTTCCTTAAAGGTACTTAGAAATCAAAAAAATTCCTACAATTCAGGGTTCCCCTTACATTGATGAACTGATGACAAGTTAATACTTACACAGGACCTGCACCAAGTGCTTCACTGGGCTTTTTTTTTCTTGTTGTTAAGATAAGTCTAAAATGATCATTTTAGGGACTTCCCTGGTGGTCCAGTGGTAAAGAATCTGCCTTACAATGCAGGGGACGCTGGTTCGATCCCTGGTCAGGGAACCAAGATCCCACATGCTGCGGGGCAACTAAGCCCATGTGTCACAACTACTGAGCTCACGTGCCTCAACTAGAGTCTGCGTGCTGCAAAACTACAGAGCCCACACGCTCTGGAACCCGTGTGCCACAACTACAGAGCCAACGCGCCATGGAGCCTGTGCGCCACAACTAGAGAAGAGAAAACCCACATGCCACAACTAGAGAGAAGCCCGCGCGCCGCAACAAAAGATCCCGCATGCCTCAACGAAGATCCCGCGTGCCGCAACTAAGACCCACGCAGCCAAAAATAAATAAATAAATCTTTAAAAAATAAAATAATCATTTTACATATTACTAGGGGAAAAAAACACATTTAGTTTGTACCAGATACTTTCCTAAGCACCTTGCATGTATTAACCAGTGAGGTAGATATTATTCTAATTGTCTGTATCTGAAAACTGGAGTAAAGAGCCTGCTAGTAAGTGATAGAGCCATTATTAAGGTCCAGCAATTCCTGGCCTGCCTTTCAGTGGGTATAATGTGCTTACATATTGTTGCTGACTTCTTTGAAAAAGGAGTAACTTAGCCTATCCTATTTGCTAATATCCTTAGGTTTTCTTATTTCTTATTCTCTTTCCCTCTAATTCCTATAAAAGGAATAAGAAAGATTTACATTATGTGCTATATTGGTAAAATGTCAGTCTGGCTTTCATTAACTTTCTAATCATCATTTTTCTGAAACTGAATAAAGAAATCAAATTCGTGATCAAAAACTTAAAACACCACCCTTCCCAATGGCCTGGCGGTCACAGAAGCCCCACTCCTGCCACAAACTATATTCAAAACAGCTTCATTTGAATTTCTGATACCTGAAAAAAGGTTTTTGGTCCTCAGAGCATGTAGGATCACTACTACCACACTTTGGAAACCCCTCAATTTTAAGATTTACTACCATGGCATATATCTCTAGCCTCCCTGTGTTGGTGAGTAGTTGGTGATGATAGTGAGGACTCAAGGATTCCTGTCTAAAAACCTATTCTGTTTTTGCAGTGGATAGCCTGCTGAAATACACTGGCTATGGGAATGCTGCAGGACTGTTGGCGGCCAGGGGCCTCTTGGCTGGAGGAAGAGGAGATAATTGGTACTCAGAGGACGAGGACACAGACACTGAAGAATACAAAAATGCAAAACCAAAGTATAGTATCATGTTTCTTTTCACCTAACTATGTCTGCCTTTCAATTGATTATTTGCCTTTCACTTCCTTTGGCTTTCATTTTCCAAGTATTTCTCTTCTTTTGTGGATTTGGAAGCTTTCTGTTTAATAGTTTTAGAGGCAGTTTCATAGCTAGTGCCTTAGAGGGTGACTTCAAGTGATTGAGGAAGGATAATATTGCAAGAAATGTTCTGCTGCATGTGCTCATTACCCTCTCCTAAGTATTAAGAGAGGTAGTGTTTTTAGATGTCTACCATCATATATTTAAAGGATATTGTTGCTTATTTTGTGCTCTCCTTTCCATAAGTTGAGATTTTATAAGGTATAACCAAGACCAAGTATTTAAGTTGGTTATTTGATACTTCAGTCTTTCTCAGAAATCTAAATGTAGGTTCCATACATTCTGATAGTTCCTCTTGTGTAAAAGCCCTTATGAGTCAATAAAGTAAAGCAACAGGGCACATTACTAGCAAAAGGAAAGAAAACTGGCTCTATGGTAAATTTTAATCAAACACTTATGGAATCATCTTTTAACAGAGGCATTAGTACACTTGGATAGGCAAACCAGAGACTCTATCAAGTTTTCCCTGAGTCAGTGCTTACAAGTCAAAGACACTAATCGTCTCTTATCCCGAAACAAACCACCTCTACTTTTCTACTCCCCATCCTTTTCATCCCCCTCTCAACTCCAATCCCAGGTAAATTTCTTAGTTTCCACTTATTAGGAGTTATTTGAGCTCAGTTTTCTGGTTTTCATTACTGAATATTAAAAGGGTGTGCCCTTCCCTATTGGTGATGATATTGACATATGCTATTTTCTATCCACAGTCTTCTAGAGTGTGATGTGGATAATGTAGTAGTTGATCAGGGATAGAAAAATCATTATCTGCAAAATTAGACCCTTTTTTTTAAAGTATAGATTGTGCTTTGTTGAGATGAAAATAATAGGTTGTCAGAAGGTAAAAGAAAAGATCATTCCCTAATCAGACAAGACTTATATGGCCTGTATTCTTGGCAAATCAGGTCTGAGTAGGTGGTGTTACTGTGGCATCCCCAGGGCTATCAGCCTTAATAGGATCTAGGAGTGTGTCCTAGAAGAAAAAGACTTTGGGGGAAAAAAAGCTAGCAGTGGCTCTAAGCAGTAAGTTCTCAAGACTGCCACCATGTAGATGTTATAAGTTGGGCACCTCTATCAGGTATTTGAAGCTAAGATAGAAAAATAATACATTAATCTTTCCATAATTATAGAAGTCATCGTTCTAAATTATTCTTGCTAGCACTTGATTTTTCCATCCCATAAACTATATTTCCATATCGGTTTAATATTTTCTGCCTCTCCATTTGAGACATTAAAATATAGCATTTAAGGAGTCTCATATTTTTAAATGAAGGTAGAAATTACATTAGGCATTCATTGTGTCCCAGGGTATGTGAATACAGTCAACTAACATAGAAAACTCTTGAGTACTCATGAGTGGTTGATATCATTGCATCTCAATGTGTGTTGTTGATTTTATTTGGTAAATGACTTCTAAAATGGTATTGGTCATATATCTGGCAAACACAAGAATGCTACTGTAATAAGAAAAACCTCAGAAAAAATACAAGAACACACTGGGTCTCTCCCAATAGTATGGGAAATAGAAATACATTACATTATGGAAGTGATACTAGATTTCAGGAAAGCACTGTTTGTTTAAATCAAGGACCATGATGTTTGATATTATTATTGTTTTGGCTTTCTGTCAGAAAGATTCTGTACTTAGGCTTATTACGTCCCTGGTTGGAATCTTCTTCAGCCTTTGGACCTGGCCTATATCATTAATAGGAATGGTGCGTTAGTGTGGCCAGAATAGTCACCATTGTGAGATCTTGTTGTGTTTCTTAAACATTGCTCATTGTAAGTATAAATATGTTTTTCTCACATAGCATCACATCTTCCCTCTTTAGATAGATTTGCATCTGCTTTTTTCTTACATCTTCCCTCTTTCAGGTGCAGCAGTGTAGTGGGATGTTTCATTTGTTAATTTAAAATACTTATTAAAATGGTCCCCATGGAAGGGGTGGTGAAAAAGTACTTTGCAAGCAAGACAATCCTTTGTGTTCTGGGCAGTGATCCACAAGCTCAAGGAAAGGAAACTTCTTACCAATCTAGTCAAGTTTATAAAGTCAGCATTTGAAAGGATGACTTAGTCCCCTACCCCCTTATTACTCTTCACCAGTCAGTGTTCTCAGGATCACAGTCTGCTTCTCCTATGATGCACTTATTCACAAACAGTGCTAGCATTGGCAGAAGCAGAGAAATTACCCGTCATCCAGTTGACCCTCGTCCCATTGTCAAAAATGTAAGTGGATTCCGATTAATGCACCAAGGTAACCTATAATCCTTTAGTGGAATCTGAAACTAAGAATTGTATGGAGCTTACATTCAGGCTATGAAAGACAGTTAATATCACAACAGCCCTTTTTGTGTCAAAATAAATGTATTTAACGGACTGGAAATGGCTTTCTGCAATTAACACACTTAGACAAAATACACTCATAGAATCAAGTACATGCCACACAGGTTTTTGGTGTATGTCTAGCCATGTTTGTAAAAAGTTTTCAGATAAGCTTTGGTCCTGTATCAAAAAGAAACCAAATTTCTAAATTCTGGCTTTATACCCATTTCTTTTATGCCTCTGAGCATGGAGGCCCCTTGACTGAATAGGTGGTATAACATAACTGATTACCGTGGTTTGTACATCATTCCAAACATCAGTTGAAAAATGTGTACCTAATGACATTTGGCTCATTTTAGACCAGTTGCTTTCAGGCTAGGTGTGGTATATAGGAGCCTGTGGGTCCAAAAAGGTGTATTTAAAGGGCCACTGTATGGAGGGGAGAAGGACGGAATGGCCAAAGTGGGCAGAACTCTAGGATGTCCCATTGTATTCTTAATACCCCACACTAGTTCGTAAACACACCCAGCAGATTAAAATTATTCTACTAAGCAACTCAGGGGTGTTTCCTTCTTGACCATGTATCTCTCAGCAGTAGCTGTGGCAGCAGCTGTACAGTTTCTTCACCACAAAAGATTTTATTTTCTTTTGTCAAAATTTTGTTATGCTGCTTTAAGTCAAGTCCCATTATAATTGTGTCCATATGTTGGGGCTATACATTGGGGCTATACATATGTTGGGGCTATACATAGCTTTGTTTTTAATATTTCTTGAAGTAGATGAATCAGAAACAGGACTTGAAGATTTTTCTTTTTGCCTAGTTTAGACTGTGATGGTATACTTATGTATAATAGGATGTAACTAGCCTTTCTAGGAACTGAAATTTATTTACTGTAGGCAATCATGAAACAAAATCTAAATTCAGATCTCTAAAGACCGGAATCAAAAATAAAATTTTGCCACTTCTGCCATGGTTGTAACCAACCTTTGTGATGTTTGCAATCACACCAGTTTTGCACTTTCAAAATTGAGTTCTCTAATTTTTCTTTTGTATTTTAATTTGGGTAAATGGCCAGAAAAAGGTGTGTTACCTGAACCTACAATATTGAGCTTTGCTTCAGGTTTCATTTCCTACAGATTCACAACCATAGTTTTCTATATCCTTTATATCAAGGATATCACTCTTAATCCAACAGCCCAAGGTAGGAAACATTATAAAGCACTATAATTTAAAAAGGTATTTTGGAGCTTTTTTAATTGCCTAGGTGCAACTTGGTGTATCTATATGTATTCAGTATGTCTATTTATATGGATGATACATGGTACTTAATAGTTGATAAATAAGTGAAAGAATTACACCACATTACCCTATTTCTTTACATTGCTAATAGAATGCAAAAACTTGGATTAAGATGTTGTTTCATAATTTACCCTACTCTTTTAATGTGGAATCAGTTTTATATTTATATGGTAATTCTCAAATTACTTGAGACGTTTTCACCTCAGTCACCATTATTAACTGGTGTCTCTTCAGAATACCTTGTATCTGAATTTAACCATAGCAAACTCCACGAAACACCTAGTGTTGCGTGGCTTCTTTAGCACATGCAGCTCCATAGTGGCGATTTAACTTAATAGACTAACTCACTGGATCCAAGGCCTTCTGGCTGGCTTACTTACCAAGTAGCTCACTTATGCTAATAATAGCTGGTATTTATTATCTAGTATGTGTCAGGTACTGTTCTAAGAACTTTCCTGATATTATCTCATTTAATCTTTACAGCAAACCTTTGGGCTAGGGTTATCCCTATCTTACAGATGAGGAAACTAAAGCTCAGTGGTTTCCAGAACTTGTCTAGGGCACACAGTTCATGAGTGGTCAGGTGGCCTAACTCCAGAGCTGGTGTTTTTTGAGATTTTTGTTGTTGTTTTTGAGGTAGACAAAGCAGGTTTTACTGTGCTTTTCACTTTGCCTTCTTATGTTGGGGGTAAAATATACATAAAATTTACCATTTTAAGCATACATATCTGTGGCATTATATACATTAATGTGCAACCATCACCACCATCCATCTCCAGAACTTTTCATCTTCCCCAACTGAAACTCTGTATCCATTCCCTCTCCCCACAACCCCTGGTAACTACCATTCTACTTTCTTTCTCTATGAATGTGACTAGGAACCTCATATAAGTGGAATCTAAGAACCTCATATAAGAGAAATCATATACTTGTCCTTCTATGACTGAGTTCACTTGGAATGTCTTTAAGACTCATCCATATTGTATAGCATGTGTCAAAATTTCCTTCCTTTTTCAGGCTGAATAACATTCTATTTAATGTATTTACCACATTTTGTTTATCCATTCTTCCATCAGTGGACACCTGTGTTGTTTCCACCTTTTGGCTGTTGTGAATAATGCTGCTATGAACACGAGTGTACAACTATCTGTCCCTGCTTCAAGAGTCCCTGCTTTAACTTCTTTTGGGTATATAGCCAGAAGTGGAATTGCTGGATCATGTGGTAGTTCTATGTTTAATT